TGAAATCAAGGTCCACATGTGCCGTTTTTATACTTTACAAAATATTACAAATGTAACAGGCTATATATATTATAAGAACTATATATGCTATAACTATCACTAATAAAATATATACTATAACTAATACATGTATAAAATATATAATAAATATAATATGTAATATAAATATGATAAGTGGTAAATGTATCTCAAAAACCATAGGTAATAGATATGCTACATGTAACGAATCTCCCGCAGTAGTCGCTCAGCCAATCAGATCGTACGGATTATGATGAAAAGCCGGATCTTGATTATCTCGGGGTCCAGTGATTGGATTTCAATGATTCATGGCTCATTAGAACCGTCTCAGTGAGCTGATTCTAATGGTATGTGTTTCATCCAACTCGGACTGGTGGATCGAAAGATATTAAGGAATTTGTGTTTTTCCTTATGTTTCAAATGTTAACAATATCAATTAAAACTTCATATATCCATCTAGTTTTCTATATAACCTTACTAAAATTATACCATTTTAGCAAATTTAAAAACAAAGAAAGTACCAAACTAACTTCAACAATTATAACTAAAAATTCAGAAGAATCTAAAGTTGAAACTATACTAAACAAAAGAACTTATTATTACTGCTTATAATACCTAGTAAAATGGAAAAGACAACCACTATATAATGCTACTTAGAAACCCCTAGATAAGCTTAGAAATTACAAGGATCTAGTAAAAGAATTCAAGAAAAATAGTAATACTGTTTTAAATAAAAGAGAGTATAAAGGAACAGCTAAATTACATTGCACAATGCACGTGTCATACAATGAAGTACTGGAAGTTCATGCAATGATCGTATTGGAGATCCATAAAATAAATATATATTATGTAAACATGATATAAGGTCAGAATCATATTAGCATTAGTTATTAGAAGTCATAATGACCATATGCTCAAGTTGTAGTCATAGTTAAGCAATTGTATTGTAAAATGTGATATAAAAATGTGTAAAAGAAAAGAAAGCTAATTAGGCTTTTGCTTGCAATTCTTTAAATAAAGAAAAACCTCAGTTTGCTTAGTATATATATATATATAATTCGCCTATGTAATTTGACTTATAGTATACACCCCAACATCATATAAACAGTGAATAATCAGTTATCATCCACAACATAACCAATAACAAGTACAGTATATGTTAATGATTAATTGTAGATTAGCTCCAATTTAATTGATTTTTACAGTATTAAAAACAGAGTAAACTGTTATACCAACAAGGCTCATATTTAAGCAAAACCAAATCAAGTAAATAGTTTAACAAAAAAAGTGAAAATCAATGCTACTATATAAAATAAAAAATTAAATTTTTACCATAATACATAAATTAATAATTCAGAGGTAAACCGTTGAGGTTGTTTATTCGTAGGAAAAAAATATTTCTGTATAATCATTTGAGAGATTTCATTCGAAATTTTATATTTCGCAAGACTATATGAACAAAGGCGACTATTTTTTACAGAGATGATAGCAATGATAAGGGCAACATGTGAAGGCATTTTTGTTAGAATTAGTATAACAAATAACTATCCAACCGAGTTTCGACCTTTTTATAAAAAAAGAAGTCCTTAGGCAAATATTGATACCCCAATAGATAATACAAAAAAAACTTTATTTTATTAACAATGTATGTTAAATTTATAACAGAAATATTTAAAGTCACCATTATAAAGAAACATGAAATCTAATTAAAGGAATCGCGCAAAGATTAAATAATATTTTATCATCTTAAAGGCTTTAACAAGATCATTTCCTCTTATAATATAACGATCAATCATCTTAACAGGCTACAGTTAGAATTGACAATAGGTCCAATGGAAACTCTCAATGAAGTCTATGAATAGCAAACCTGCAAAGCCTGGCTATGGAAGAAAGATACTAATAGATAATAATAACAATGATATTATTCATTAATGATACATCAGAAAATGACATGGCATAAAACGATTACTGTATTAATCTAAATTTATATAAATTATATTTATAATCTGATATTGTTAGAGGCAAAATGTGACCTAGTGAAGGCACGTGAGAAACGTGACAAGCCATAATCTGGACCAAGCTAAGCCTCAAGCCCAAGACCTCCAATCGACATATGACAGAAGCATTAATCAAATGCTATCTTGGGTTTGGCTCAAGGTGAAGCTCTGTTGAAAATCACATAAATTCAAATATTGGAAGTTTAGTCATTGTAACTTGCAGATTCTTCCCCCCTCTCCGATACTCAATTTAGTCATAGTCTCAAATGTAATTCTCTTATATAAAAAGTCTGGTCGTTTACCTTTAATAAAAACAGTTGCATATTAAGAAAAGAAAAGGATCATCATTACTCTAAGTTTAACCAAAGTCCAGTGCTGTCCCGCGCAATGTACCTGAAACAAGCCTTGCCAAATCGAATTCGCCTCTATAATCATTTCAGGTATCATTGTCTCTGTGTTTTTAGTTGGTTGGTGTTCACTGTTTTTCCCTCTAAAAATATATAAAATTAATATGTATGGTTAAATCGAGTAATAAATGACTGTAATAGTAAGCAATTAACAATGAGTTTTACAGTATTAATAGAGCAAACCATTATAGGGATAAGGCTAATATTTGAGCAAATCAAAATCAGGTAAATACGAAATTAAATTGATATTCTAAATGGAACCTTAAATAAAACAAGTAAAAGTGGCTATATAATTTAAAACGCATAATAATCTAAAAATGATGATAATTAGTAAGGTCTTACCATTACGTTAAATCAACGGCAAGGCTCATATTTGAGCAAATCCAAATTAAGTTAAATAGTTTAGCAAAAGGGAAAATCGGCGCTGGTATAAAATTTTACATAACTAATCTAAAAGCCACAAAAATAAATAGTAAGGTCTTAGTCAAAACCAATGACCAGACAAGGAAATTAACCTAACCTAAATAATAGTTCAGTTCTTTTATTGTACTTAAAAATATTTTAAATACATACACAAATATTAAATTACGAGAAATGATAAGCCAATCAGATGTCTAGAATCTGTGACTTCACTTAACTCACTACTCTACGTACTTCGTACTATGTTCCTGTATTATCATTTCCACACAATTGTGGAATTGTTTCTAAGCGATATCGTGATAACCACATAACCAAATCTGACTGAAATTGATTTATACGTATGTATAATAGAATTTTTATCGATAAGAAAATAAAATTTTTGTAAAACAAGATTCTTTTGAAGCGGAGTTTGTCTCTTGGTACCTTTCTTAATTTTTCTCAAAAAGGATAATAAGAATGTTTCGATTATACAATAATTTACTTTTTTGTTTGCATATTTTTTTCAGTATTTATTAATTTGTTTTTTTAATTTTATTTTTGTTTAATTTTATTTTTAAAAAAATAGATCCTTTGTCAACAGTGATTATGGTTGCCAAAACTGCTAAAAAAATATATGAATATGTTAACAGGAATAGCTGGAAAAAAGCTATATACTGTAGAATTAAAGAGCTAGAGCAAAAGCATAGATTTAAAATTCTTCTTGAAGAAGTAATAGAGTTACTAGATGAGATTATTAATGATTATAAACCAGAAAAAAAAAGTAAATTTTATGGTCTTACTTGGCTTAAAGAAATAAAACGAGAAAAAATGAAAGAACGAGTAAAAATGAAGGATAGTGATGACTCTGATGATGACGATAATGATGATGATGATGATAATGATGATGATTACGATGACTCTGATAATGATAATAATGACTCTGATGATGACAATAACTCTGATGATGATAACAATGACTCTGATAATAATAACAATGACTCTGATGATGACGACAATGACTCTGATGATGACGACAATGACTCTGATGATGACAATAACTCTGATGATGATAACAATGACTCTGATGATGATGACAATTAGGGATTAGAATTGAATCTCTGATAATTGTTTTAATTGTTAATCAAATTAGAATCGTTTCTAGAAATGATTACATATTTTTGAATCAATTCTAAGCAAATAATCTGTTTAATTATAATGAACTTTCACTTATTTTAAGTTATTTTATTTATTTTAAAAATAGTTCTTTTGTTTTTAAACTTAAGAGTCATTTAGCCTAGCCTTTAGTTTGTGCTTAGCCATCTTATTACACAAGTTACTGTAAATGTTTAAAATTGTTATACTTAATTTTCTTGATAACTATATGTTTGTTCAATATAAAGCGTATTGTTTTTTTTATTAAATTTTAAGTTGAATTTTGTATTTGGATATCATTCAGATTTTATTCTATTAGTATCTAGATAATATACGTATACGTTTTAGTATATATTTGTTTCAGAATCTCCTAATACTACTAAAACTAATAGATTAAAATAATAAATGTTAAAACCTTGTATAGTATTATCGTTATAATACTATAAAAATCTATTATTTGGTTTATAATCTGTTCAAGATAAAAAATTCATTATTTTGATCAACTATATTAAACTTTAATTTTTAGAAGTATTTTAGTATATTATAAATAAATAAAAATAATAGTATATAAACTTGAACTTCAATAATACAAACTTTAGTAAAGCATTTAATTTTTAATAAACTTTCAAATTTTAATACTATTTTCAAGTTTTAATACTACTTTTAAGTTTTGATATCACTTTCAAATTTTGATACTACTTTTAAGTTTTGATCTACTTTTAAGTTTTGATATTACTTTCAAGTTTTGATACTACTTTCAAGTTTCAATATTAATATAGAATTTATTGAAATAGTTTTAATACATCAAAATAGTTTCAAGAAGCATTATTTTTTCTCTCTTAGTTAACTGTCTTCTAGAAATTAAACAAGCTAATTATATTATATAATTAAAATTAACTAATAAGATTTGATCAAATATTCTTAAACATATATTTTTGTTTAAATTTTCTTCTTTTTTATATCTAAACCCAAAATATTGATATTAATCTAATAATCAACTTCAAATAGTCTAAATAGAAAAGACAGCTCTAAGTCATTGTAATCATCATCAGAGTTATTAATAAATAAAAAAAACAGCTCTATGTTATTATTATCATCATAAGAGTTATAGTAATTAGTAAACAGAGAAAACAGATCTAAATAATTGTCATTAAGGATAAGAATTAATTCTAAAAACTTCAATCAATTATCAAATCACTTATAATCAATTTATAATTGATAATCAAATCTTAAATATATGTCATTATCACTTATTTTAATTATGAACAGTATTTTAAACTAAATAATAGATTTTTATAGTATTAGAATACTATACAAGGTTTTTAATATTTATTATTTTAATCTATTAGTTTTAGAAATAGATCCATTGGATCAATTATCCAGATATCCAAATAATTGCTGAACCTTCAGATATTGTTTTAACTGATGGTCAGAATATCGAATAGTACCTATACTATTAGATACTGTGAACCCGAAAATGTAATATGTATAAACTGCGTATATTATGGGTAACAATTTTGACATGTGAAATGCAGCTAAGCAGATCATTTGCCTTAATTAAGTGATCCATTAATTAATCTCGTTAATCTCATTAAATGGATTAATGAGATTAAAGAGATTAATAGGGTAAATTTGATTAAGTAGTTTAAATAGATTAATGAGTTAAAATGAATTAATAGACAGATACGTTTATATGTTCTGACAATTATAAATAAAGGCCGTGAAGGCCATAGAGGGAAGATATCTCCCAACTTTGCATCATTAAAATAATAATCTGATTTCCCCTTACATAATAAATACCTATAATAAATAAAGTTCGCTAAATACCTAACCACATAAAACCCGTAATTACCCTTTCTCCAAAATTATTGAATATCCCGTCCGGCTGTTGTATCCTAACGTACCAGGATCAGCCGTGGTTATTACATCCAACTATCCGAAGTAGTGTGATAGTTGTGGTTACATCGTCACCTAATTACCCGAAGTAGTGTGGTGATTAAGGATTAAAGTTAGCAAAGACACCAGTGTACAAGAAACAAGGAATACTTACCTACGGACACCAAACCACCGACCAAATCTAAACGCCTCTTTCGACTAAGCCAGCCGTAGGTTACGCAAGGAATTGAATTGTTGAGCGACTGACTCGCCGCTGTGCCCGGTTTCAGTACATATGAGGGAACTTTTTTTTTTTTTTTATGTCAATTCATCTTTTTTTATTTTATTTTTTTTTAATTTGTCTTAGGTTTAAAGCTTTAATATTATATATTCTTTTATTGATATTAATAAAGAGTTAAAGAATAGACCTTGTTGTTAAAAAAAAAAAAACAAAAAAAAAATCAACAGAAAAGGGACAAATCTATGAATTTACTAATTTATCCCACCACTTCTAATTGGCTGTACTAATTATTCACTTAGCGGAGTATTTATTTTTTTTAATCAATTTTTTTCTATTCCGATAGTAAAGTGGGGGAAATTAGGACACCCCAAACCTATTAGATAAATTTTTCCTTTACTATTGAATGATCATATATATAAAGATATTAATGATAAAAATGTCGATGATTAAAAGATTTTCGAATTCTTAGTCACAAACTAACATTCTAATACAGCTGAAAAAATTTATACTCAGGAGTTAAAATTTTTATTAATTGACGCACTGGCTTTAATGAAATGATAGTACAATTTCAATTTGGTCCAATAAATGTGGAAATAATATTTTTTCTCAAACTCAAGGTTTTATTTACTATATTTAATTTCCTCTGAATATGTGTCAGCTTGTGATGATGCATCAATTTGTTAAAAACCAAGTTTAAAAATGATTATGTTCGAATATTAATCATATGTACAGTACATACTTTAATTTAGAATTTATAATATTTAATTATCGATATATTGCAAATATTTTTGTACTGAAATTATTTTGTTTATTAAAATTAATTAAGTTGGCATCACTATGTATAATTAATTATTAAGATTATTATTACTATAAGATAAAAAATTACTTCGCTATTCAAAAATATTTCTGACATCCTAAAATATTTACGACACCCGAAAATATTTATACCACTCTAAAATATTTACGACGCCCTAAAATATTTACGACACTTTAAAATAATTTCGACACTCTAAATTATTTACGGCACCCTAAAATATTTACGATACTCTAAAATAATTTCGACACTAAGTTATTTACCATTTAGATTGTCAAATGATTTTCGCCAAGGGCGAAATAATTTAGACACCCATATATCGATAAATTTAATACTTTGTACATACATTAATAATTTTTCAAGGCATATTCAGCTTTGATGTCTGGCTACTTATTATTTGAGAGGCAACCATGGCAAGCTGCCTTAGACAAATTTGCAGCTGCAAGGTATGCTTAAATATAAGTTGAAACAATTAAGCACAAAAAATTATAAACCATTGTTGTGAATGATAAAACATTTATTGTTAATTTCTGGAAAACTTATACTATCCGAACGATACTATAAATTGTAAAATTATTATATTAATCAAGTTCAAGTTTATGACGTTTATTATCTCGTTCTTTATCCTGATTATTGTCTTTTTTTAATATATCCGATTGTGCTTGTAATAAATGTGCAATTTGTGATACCACATTTTTTGCTTCTTGATAATTATTACGGATGCAGTTACAAACAATTTCAGGAGTAATTTCGGTTCTTGGACCTTGCAGTGTACCAGACCAACGGATGAATCTCCATACATATCCCATTGTTACTATACCGAACATCATAGGAGGTAAAGAATCCACTTTTTCACGTTTTCGTTTTCCTAACAATGTCTAACAAGAACTGACGTTAATTTTGTAAGTTAAAACTCTAAAAATAATTAAAGTCAATTACTTCGGGATCTTACCTCGGCTGCAATATATACTTGTACCAAATTTTGAGCAATTCCCTTTTCCATGTCTTGTTTTTTGGCCTCATTAATCAATACCGGAACATCCTGTATAATAACTTCATAGTCCAAATTGCCATAACCTCGAGACCCATCAGGTTCAGGCTTCACATTTAATTCTGTTGACAAATCTCTATATTTTCAAATATGTTTCACAGCAATAGTCATAAAAATTGATACGTATTCCCGTACTGTAGCTTCATTTGTGCTAATTTTATTATTAAATGCGAATACCTTGTCTTCAAGTTGTTTAATAAAGTACGCAATTTCGTCGTCACTAAATGACGGATTCAATTCAGGAAAATCTTCCAAGCTTAATTTCCGCATTGAGTCCATAGAGGTAAAAGTATTTTTATAAATTTCGCTACCCACTTCTTTTAAAGTCCAATCTCCGAACGCCTTTTTTCCTTTGATTTGTATTTTAAGATCTAAGATATGTTCGTTTGATTTGTTTGGTCTTATTCAGATCAATAAATTCATAAATAAATATTCGTCCTCAATTTTTTCTTCTAAGTTGCTTTGACCATTAGAATTTCTCGTAACAACAAAGGTAATTTCAGCTGTCGAAAGTGGTTCAAATAATTCTTTAGCTTTTTTTCGAAGAAAATCCCAGGCCCCACTAGAATGAGGTATTCGCCATTTACCAGTATTAAGCAAAAATCTAAAATTTATTAAGACTGCAAATAAATTCAGCAATTAGTGCAGTTTTTCATATAAGCAGAAAAAAAAAAAATTTTACTTACTGCTCGAATCTGATATTAGATAGCATATAACGAGTGGCTTTATAGCCATTATCTTGGCTGCCAGAGGTTTAAGGGGAATGTCTAGTGGAATAAGTGTATTGCGATCGTCATGGTTTAAGAACTCAATATCATCCGCTTCGATATTTTTTAACACTTGAATCTTTTCTTTGAGAACATCCTTAAAATCTTCCAAGTCAGAAACTTGTAATAAGTCAGCTTTCAATTTATGAGGACCTGGGTGATCCTCAAGGAGAACCCACATTTTAATTATCATATCCGGGGAAGGACTTGAACTTTCATTTCCTTTTTTATCGTTGGATATTTCAGCCATAAAACTATATTTGGATCATTACTGCGTTAAATCAAATATTTGCATGTAATCAAAATTTTGACAAAAATTCTGAAATTTTGTCAAATATGCAAATATTTATGAGAATTTGCATTCTACATGAAATATATATCGATTCTCCAAGATATAGTTTTATTTGGTATTTATGTTCGACAGATGTTACAAGATTTTATCTTTGCATCAAGGGACGTGTAAAAAGCAACTTCAGTATTAAGAAATCCTGTTTTTATAAACTTTAAAATTTTTTACAGCATATAGATCTGCTATTGATCACGAGTCTGGTAATTACTTTCTCATCAGTCAAAGGTGAAGTCTATTATGAATTTTAAAAATAGAAATAAACAAAATACAGACCAATAAAAACAAATTTTGTCTTTTTATTTCAATATATGGAGTATTTCATATTAAAAAGTAGGGTTCCAAATTCTGACCCGAATAACCATGTAACTGATAACCCAACCTGAAAAAATTACTATCCAGATCATATTTTTGACAAACCGGTTTATATAATAAACAGGTCACCAGTTAATAAACGGGTAATCTGTCAATAAGTGGATCACCTGTCAATAAACGGGTCACCTGTACACGAATATCATATGTCAATTAGCCAATCAAATCATAAATTTAAAAAAAACAAAATTTGCAAAGAATAAGCGAAGTTGAATTGAAATTTATATCCAAAGCTCAAATTAATCTCATTAAATAATATTATAGAGTAAGTAAAAATATCTTAATTAGCTTGGATCATATATTGACTAATTTACTAACGATTATTTATTATACTTAAAAATTATAATAAAATATACATTCGTTTCTATATTCGAATGACTACAATAATATAAAAAAGTAGTTAGTTAAACTGTAATATACGTAAACTCTTTAAAGAGTTTATTCAATAAACAATAAAACAACACTTTGTCTTTTTATTTTTGTTAAATTATTACTTTTGTTACTTCGTTTTACCTTATTTTTTTTTGTTGTTCAAACATAAGATTTAGCCAATTTAGCTTACAAATATACCTTTTTATATACTAACTATGTCGAATAAATTAAATATTAAGGCAGTGGAATTCAGAAAGATTCAAGTTTACTTGGTGCACTTTGCTTCACAGAAGAAATAATCTATTCGAGCTTCCAAAAAAAGTATTGTAAAACGTATAAAAAAATTTTTTATAAATTTGGATAATTTGTTAGGGTGCGCCATATCATAATTAATCAAAATAAATTCGCACATGAAAACATATTCAAAGAATGTGGTAACGATCAATTAAGGAGATACAATAGTGAAAAAAGATTGTTTTTTAGTATTTTAGAGTAAGTACATGTAGTAATTGCATATGAAAACATGCAAAGAATATTGTTATTCTTTATTCTAAAATATCAAAAAAACAAATTTTATCATTATTATGTTTCTTTAATTAATTGTACTACATTCTTTGAATAGATTTTCATGTACAGTTTTAATTTTATTTTTAATAAAAACAATCAGTATATTTAAAAAAAGTTTAAATTTGGCTATTGACAATTAACGTCTAATAAAAAGTGTAGTAATTGTTTTATTTGCTTTGTCTTCTCCATGTTGATCAGTCTCACTTGAGATTTCCCATTTCTTATGAGCATATACTGTCTTCAATTCTTCTTTTAAACATTTAAAAATAGAAGTATTTGCAAGACACATTTTAGATTTTTGAGTATCCTTTGACATATTTGGGTGTGTTTTGTAATCAAATTTGTTAAAAAGTCCCTCACTCTGCTGTTGATGTGTAATTAAATACCAAATATGATATTTAATAAAGTCTAATAATCTAGGAAAGGAATAAATCGATTAGTTAGTATTATGAATAAATGCTATAAATTCAGTATAAAAATTAAAATTTTTAAGAGCTTCTGATAATCTGAAATTATTAAAGTTTCTAGTACTTGTATCAACTTCAAGAAATTTTGCATAACAAATTTCTCGAAGAGTTAGAGTTCTTGGCCAAGAATGTTTCAAAATAACAAATGCAAAACTACATGCAAATTTCTAGGCTCTTAGTTCACCCAATTAGCAAATACTTAAGGGTAAATGAAGCTACTTGTGAAACTATTTTTGGTGTAGTTCAAGAGCTTTCTGAACTCCAAGTTCTAAAGAAGTAATTAAAGATCCAAAAGTAGTATGGTTAAGTATTTTATTTGCCTCTAACAATTCTTCGCCAAAAAAGTGATATAAATTTTGTATTATAATTGACAACTCATATGTAATATGAAGAATGAATTCAGATATTTGATGTGAACAACATTGCATTGGTAAGTGAGTAAAAGAATCATTTCCAATAGGTTTGAGATCAGGATTGAATTCAGCTATAAATTAATTATTGGATAATAAAATTTATTTTCAAATTTAACTAAACATTTTAATTGAAGGTTTATTAATGAATCATTAAGCCAGCTTTGAAAAAGTTCTTATTTTTTAATATATCCTTGTGGTATCTTCTTATGTAATTTTAATTGAGATATAAACTAATTTACAAATAAATTATATTAATCATAATGATCAAGAAATTGTTCTCCATATTCAAGTTCATAAAGCCAGTGGGTTGGAATTGGGTTTTAATATTTTGTTATTTTAAATCCTAGTAAATCTTTATAGAGACAATGAATATGTTCTGATTGTATATCCATAAGGTATTCTTTATCACTATCACCATAACAATTATGAAGTTTGTAAGCTAATTTTAAAAGATTAAATGGAATTTTTTTATCTGTTAAACCTGCAGCTGGTGGTAATTTTCCAAATGCAGTCTCTTCAAAACCTATTATAATTATATATGCTACATGCATTCCACAGGGAATCTGATAACAATTTGTATGATTTTTTAAATTAAATTTTGCTATAGCTCTATCTAATTTGCTACTCATATAGTTTGTATTATCTGAAAGGTATGTAAAACATTTTAATAAATTAAGTCCAAATTAAACATATATATCTGTAAAAGCTTAAGCAATGGTATCTCCATTACAATATAATAAATCTTTTACTTCAAGAAGACATGTATCTAGTAAGTTTGTTAATGAGTTCCAATACATTATACAACTAACAAAAAGTTTTTGTTCTCTACATTTTGATTCATCACCTATCAAACCAAATAAAAAAAATTCTGAATTGCCCATATTTTTAGATAGTTAACTAACATGTAATTTAGAATCTTCTTTGTGCTACAAACAAGTAACTGGGGTGATGAACTATGCAAATTAGACTTTTCTATTAAAAATCCTAAAAATAATTGTGTTGCTTGTACTGTGTTATGAAATAATGATTTACCAACTTGTTATATTTGTACTATTATATTTATAAAATATGATTTGTATTTTTTTTTGTTTTCTATTATAAAAGAATTAATTATTGCATTAAAACTTCGAGTATTAGTTAATAGTTATCGAGCATTTGCATGAATTTTTGCAATTTGATTTTTTCATTTTCTTGTTAACTGTAAAATTTTTCTATTTAAACTACGAAGTTTTTAAGTAGAAGTTACTTTAGATTTTTGAAGTTGAGTAATAGTTTTTTGTAAATTAATATTTTCTAAATACAAATTATTATTAGCTTTAGTTAATAAATTGAATGATTAGCTAACCTTATATAAACTTTGTTCAATATATAATTTAGTCTTCTTTTGAAAATATGGTAATAATATTTTTTCTTCATTAGAATCTTTTGAATAATATATATTTTCAAATAATGTAGTAGCTATATAAACTTGCGATCAGGTAATTGTAAAATATTAGATATCAGTTCTATTTATTTGTCATTAGTTTCACTAGTTGTCTCTATATTTAATTTCTTAATAATATAATCATAAATTTGTTTTAATTAATAATAATTCATATTTTCTAAATACTAATTAATCTTATTTTATAAGTTATTATTTTTTTGCAAATCAAATTTTGCTCTTGCAATTTTTGGCTGAAATTTTTGTTTAGATGAAACTTTTAATTTTAGTTTATATGGTATCCTATTATAGATAAATAATAATCATTATACAAAATTAGATATTTAGACTCAATGACCCATTATTTATAGCTCAAATTTTTTATGGAGAATAATTGTAGAAATAAAAGCAAAATTACAGAAAAACCTTTTATATTAAATTAAAAAAATTGTGCAAGAAAAAATTAAAGATATTATTTTACACAAAATTTATTATTAATAAATTAGTCTTCACTATTAAATTAATACTTCGAATAATTTACATTGTTTAAAAATCTATTATTATTAATTTATTAATTGATCTTACATAGTTTTGATTAATTATGATATGTGTACCTTAACAATTTGTATAATATAGATAGTCCTATCTCAAAGTTTTGCAGAATTGCCAGGTTACCTAATTCTAACTGTTTTAATCTAAGTTTACAGTGGACCATCTATGGATGCAAAAGTTACATTGTTAATTGATCTACAGTTACTTTGTTGATAGGTATAAATTACTTCCTAAATTGAGGTCGCATTTTTTATGCATTTTTTGTAAAATATTTTTGAACTTTTAGTGAAGATATATTAGTAATTACTTGACCAAATTCAATAATTTTTTTTTGTTCTAATTCTATGAATATATGGAATTAAAATAAAAAATTTTCATCAATTTTGATTAGGCAGTTTTGAGATATCTTTACTCAAAGTTAGTAAACAACTTCAAAACACTTAATAAAATAAAAAGTATATTAAATTTCTTCTAAAACTTTGAATAAAGATATCTCAGCAACTACCTAACCAAATTCAATAATTTTTTTTTTATTTTAATTCTACAAATATATAGAATTCGAATAAAAAAAAATTCATAAATTTTTGTTTGGCAGTTGTTGAGATATCTTCGCTTAAAGTTTTAAAAAAAATTTGGCACAAATTAATATTTTGAATTTGTTTACTGAATTTGAGCAAAAATATACTACAACTATCTGACCAAAATTGATGAATTTTTTTTTATTCGAATTTTATATATTTG